GAGTTATATTATTTTTGTACATGATAAATATATACTATGTTAAAAATATAAACTTATTTAATTTTGATAATTTCGATACTTTTGATTCGGTATCGGTATTGCAAAGTTTCGTACTGAAAATTTTTGGTAATTACCAGTACCGATACTGAAAAATATTTTCGGTATTAATTTTATGAAATACCGTACCGAATGGTATCAATCGGAACCCTAACTAGTATGTATTTTGAATTTTATAGTAATAATATATCCTGCCACTAATACTATCCCCCTCCTAGTAAAATACTCCCCGGGTATTGTATACAGTGGTATATGATAACTTAAAATTTAATCAAATTTTATTAAAAATAGAGTTTTTAAAGGTTTTAAAGATTTTTTAAAAATAAATTTATATAATAAAAAAATAAAATAATTTTATTAATATTTATTAAATATAATAATAAGTCTTTTATAATTTTTTATAAGCTTAAAATTTTTATTCTTTTTTATATTTAATTTTTTTAAAAAATTTTTATAGTAAAATTTTAATTTTTGTTTATATTTTATATATAAATTTATATATATAATTTATAATACATTTTTTGAATTTTTTTTTGACTTTAAATCAATATTTTCAAATAAATTTATTAATTAAGCATTAATAAAACTTTAACATTATATTATTTAGATTTTAAAAAAGATATATTTAAAATTTTATATTAATTGAATTATTATTTATTAAATGATAATAATAATAATAATAATAAGTTTTTTTGTCACAGACTGTATATCTTTTGTAATATACAAATTAAATAAAGAAATAATATTTATCTATAAAAAAATATTATTTTATAACAATATCTTTAAATATATACATATATATTTTTTTAATCTTAATTAATTAATTATAGATTTATTAATAAAAAAAAAATAATTATAATTTTTTTCAATTATTTTTATTTTACATTATATTATTTATTACAAATATAAATATTTATAACGCTAATGATAATAATATACATGAAAAATAAAAAATTGTACTAAAGTAAAATAAAAATAATGCATATTTAATTAATCAAAAATAAAATATAAAAATAGACAAATGAATATTTAAAATAAAAAAATAAAGATAATCTGACTTTTTGCTTAACGAGCTTATTGGCGTTGTTATTTAAATCATAAAAATTAAATTAAATTATTTAATATTTATATAATATTTTTTTATACACGAATAATAAATAATCGGAACTTAATTAATTTACAGTATAATTATAAATTGAAAATTTAACAAGTTATTATTAAGTATTTAAATCAAAGATATAAATTAAAAATTAAAAATAAAAGATATACGTGCAGGCTGTACACAGGTCGTTTTAGATCAAAACATTTATCTTTGAACTCATGTAGTTAATGAAAGACATGCGTTTTTTATAATTTATTATGATTTTTCTTCAACGATGATAAAAATTGCGTCATTATTAATTTTGTAACCAAATAAGTATAAATGTATTATATCTTTCAATAATTAAACTAACGCTAATTAAACCCAATTTGTCCATCCATTATTATCCGTAATATATACTACTGCGTCACAATGTTTACTAAAGCGTGGGTAATTATGCCTAATGACAATCAAAGACTCCCTTTTTGTAAAGAATCGGATCAACCCATTTCCGTGTTATATATGCATACTTTGTTTTCAAAAAGTTTTTTCTTAAAATTTTGACAGAAGACTTTTTTACTGCTATCCCTTAATAAGTATTATGCATCGTGGATATCCGTGTGGGAAATTAAATCGTACAAAAGGTTAAGTCAGAAAAAAAGCGTTACATAAAGGTTGGATGAATTTGTATATACAATTTTCCTGGTCCTGTGACAAGCACGTAATTAGTTTATCTAATTCGCGTTTATATAAATATGAACTTTTTCGCCAAAAGAAATTTTAATGGAAGACACTCTTTTGAACACAATTGATCGTCGTCTTAAGGATTTATCCTTGAACATTGATCCCGAAGGATCTTCGATAACACCATTTGAGATTATTGATGAAAGTGAAGCTAGGAGTGACAATGAAAATTCTATGACTAATTTAGATTACACCTCTTCAGATGAAGAATCAGTGGAGGTATTAGACGATAGTGGTTTTGTTGATTCTGAAGAAGATGATGGGGAAAGTAGTTCGGATGAAGAATCACTAAATGGTCGTCGCATATCAAAATCACTTTCGAATTCTATCTACTCAATTCTCTCTCAACATTCCGAACAAGATTACGCCTATACAGACGAGGAAAATCTTCAACTTTATGGTAGATGTGATGAATGTTCCCGCCCATTCACCTCGGAAAATTGGTGTGCAGCATGTCAAAGTAAAGCTTATTTTGATAAGCAAGAATCATGGTCAATTGAAAATATGCAGATCAGAAATAGGATAATCGATTCACAAAAAAAATCTCATTGTTCATCTTGTACTTTGGATTGGATTGATTTTAATGTTGGCTTTAAAAATATAAAGAATTTCAGTAAAAATTTTAAGGCAGAGTTGACTTTTCCGAAAGTAGGAAATAAAAAAATTCCCGGCGTGGACACAAAACATGTAGTGTTGAAATGCATCGGATATGCAAACAACGATTCGGAAAACCTTTTAAAAGATGTAAGCGATTTTCATTTATCATATTTATTTCATTAATTAACCTTGTTTTGAGAATTTCGGAAAAAAAAATTTTTTTTTTTTCTTACAGCTTCTAAATGATAAATGTTTTCTCGGCTCGGATCATATTCTCCCTTACTACGGCGTGACTCTGCATCCTGTCCTCAAAACCTATATGATTGTAAAACCTTATGTTACAAACGGTAATCTTAGGGAATATATAAAATCGCCAGAAAACTACCACCTTTTTAGTTGGTGGCGTAGAATAATTTTACTTTACACTCTTGCCGTGACTTTGGCAAATCTACACGACAATGGTGTCATACATAAAAACTTCCACCCAAATAACATTCTAATCGGAAAAGATGTAGAATTTCCCATTATCACAGGTTATGGATTAATGTCAAAATTACCTTACACCGTCAGAAGGGAAGATAAATACAATGGAAAGTCTCGTGTGGTCGAAGGTGTATTGCCATACATTGACCCCGTGGTATTTGAAGATTCTAGTAGCGCAAAATTTACGGAAAAATCTGACGTCTATAGCTTTGGATTTGTTATGTATGAAGTTGGCACTGTTGGTTTGACTTTCACAAATGTGCCTCACGACGAGGATTTGATCAGAAAGATTTCAGCTGGACTGAGACCAGTGATTCCTGATGATATTCCAAAATTTTTTGCTGAATTAATTAAAATGTGTTGGGATGCGGAACCGGATAAAAGACCGAGTATGAGAGAAGTTGCCAATATACTCAAATATTGGAGGAACCATCAAGTGGATCGTAATTTTGGAAAGACAGTTTACAAGACCTCTACGTGTGGTCATGAGGAAAAGAAAAGTTATGACCTAACTATTTTTGATTCTTTTCAAAAAGCAGAAGAATTTCGTCAGTTTAACGGGACATCCACTGCTGATAGATTTGTGAGACTTCATGCAGAAGCATTTTATTATAGTCGTCGTCTTGAAATTAATCCAATACCAAAACCACCAAAAAATTGCGAGATTCACCAACAGTCAGGACCGGTCCACCCGATTAAGCAATATTTATACCCTTACGAAGGAGGATTGATCTTGTTAAAAGAAAGTTCCTTTAATCACGATTCTTTCACCTGTATCAAGTGTGAGGAAAATATTAACACGTACTTATGGTGGTGCGCTACATGTGATTCTTCAAGATTACGAGATCAATTTGGCAGCTGGACAAGCGGAAACAAAGACATCGATCAATATATCGAATATACTCAAACTCTTGCCCCATCTCGGGAAGGATGTCTAGAGTGGATACCTTATAGTGAATTTAAAGATATCGAAAAGGTTGGTCAAGGGGGTTTCAGTAAAGTGTATAGTGCCATTTGGAAAGGTGGACCCATGACGAAATGGAATAGAGATATTCAAAAATATGATAGGAATCCTAACGTCAGGGTTTCCTTGAAGCAACTGAAAGATTCACAGAATATCAGCAAAGATTTTTTCCAGGAGGTGATTATTCAACGTCTTTTTTTCATTTATTTTCTCCGAGTCTCATGCATTTTTTTTTCTCTTAAAAGTTAATAGCACACCTCCATTGCGAAAAAAACAATTTTGTTTTGAGATGTTATGGCATAACTCAGGACCCAGAATCTAATGAGTATATAATGGTAACCGATTATGCAAAGAAAGGAGACTTGCGAACTTATATTAGAAAGCAATTTCATAAAATAAAATGGAATGAAAAATTGGCACTTCTACAAAATGTTGCCTGTGGTCTCAAGGAAATTCACAAGGAAGGATGGGTTCATCGCGATTTGCACACTGGGAATTTACTTCTTGATCCCGCTTCTATCAATGAAACCATTGTCATCGGTGACCTGGGGATGTGTAGGCCAGCCTGTCAATCTAGTTCATCAGTATACGGCGTAATTCCTTATATGGCTCCGGAACTATTTAAAGGTCAGCCTTATTCAAAAGAAAGTGATATCTTCAGTTTTGGAACAATTTTATGGGAGGTATCTTCCGGACGTCTACCATTTAGTGACAGACCACACGACAGAGACTTAATAAAAGAAATAGCGAATGGCTTAAGACCTGATGTAGTTGATAATACGCCCAATCAGTATGCAGAGTTAATGTGGAGATGTTGGGATCCAAATCCTAGTGAAAGGCCGAGTGCCAGTGAAATTGAGAGTATCTTGATGGATTTAAGACGTGATACTGGTGCAGACTTGTATCTGGATAAAAGTTATATTAGTCAAGATCATTTATCAATGTCCGTCACTAGTGTTTTCCAGAATGGTAGTACTTTGTCCCAATTTACATCTGACCTGGAAGATAGAGTCAAGGAGGAAAGTCAATTAATAAGAAGTTTGCCTGTCAATACTCAAGCGATCTATAGTAGTAGAATATTTCCAAATTAAGAAAGGTGAAAATAAGAACTATTACATATTAAAAGAATAGGTCAACGATAAAAGTCGTATTTAAATAAAAGAATTTTTATTTATCTCTTATTATTAACCCATTATGGATGTTTATAAATTGCAAACAAAGTATTTATTTTTTGAAATCGTATAATATATTTTTTATTTGATTAAGATACAATTAAAACAACAAAAATCTTTAAGTAAATGATATTATATTTATATTAAATTGATAATTTAAAGTGTTATTGAAATATTGAAATATTTAATTTTAAATATGATACTTAATAATCAATTAAATTTTTCTATTAATCAATATTTAAAAAAGTGTTTGCAAGAAACTTTTGTTCTATAAGAGTTTAAATATATAGTAACAATTTAAACAATAAGTTATATTTAGTCAAAAAAGAAATAATAAAAGACACAAGTATTTAGAAAAAATAATTATTTATTAATTTAAAGATAGAAATATAATCTGAGTTTTTATAAAGATAAAAAGATTTTCTTTTAAATAATTATTTTTTATTATATAAATATTCTATAAAAATACATAAATAAAAATATACAGTATATTATTAATATACAGTGTGAGTCATAAATTTTTGGAATTGGTTTTTTTAATATAATTTTTTTAATAACTATTTAAATATTA